GTGGAGGAGGAGGAAGAGGACACGGGGGGCAGGAGCTCCAAGAAGGAGGTGAAGATCGTCGTATGTGTACCCTGCGTTTTGAAAGTATTCCTCACTCCACTATCAAATAGAGAGGCACGCCACTAAGAACGCATATTTTAAGTCACGCTTTACGACAACAACTGCTGTATTCCTATTTTTGCTCCAAGGCGGCGGCGGCGGCTGCAGCCGTTCAAGTCGGAGTCATGGGCAATGACGACGAAACACCACGGGAGAGGGAGGAGGAGGAAGAGAAGGGGGAGGAGGAGGAGAACGGAAAGGAGGCAGAGAAGGGGAAGGAGGAGGACAAGGGCAAGGAAGAAGAGAGGGGGGGGCGGGAAGACGACGAAGAGGAGGAAGAGCAGGCGGGAGGAAGTTCCAAGAAGGAGGTGAAGATCGTCATATGTGTACCCTGTGTTTTGAAAATATTCCGCACGTCACTATCAAATAGAGAGGCCCGCCATTAAGAACGCATATTGTAAGTCACGCTTTACGGCAACAACTGCTGTATTCCTCTTTTTTCCCAAGGCGGCGGCGGCTTCAGCCGTGCAAGTCAGAGTCAACGGCGAGGAGGACCATGAGGAACTGGAGAAGAGGGAGTCGGACGAGGACGAGGAAGAGGAGAAGACCCAGGACGAGGTTCAAGAGGTGGTGGAGAAGGGGAAGGAGAAGGAGAAGGACCAGGGGAAGGGGAAGGAGCAGTGGAAGGGGAAGGGCAAGGAGAAGGAAAAGGAGAAGGAGCAGGGGGAGGGGAAGGATCAGGGGAAGGGGAAGGAGAAGTGGAAGGGGAAGGGCAAGTGGAAGGAAAAGGAGAAGGGGAAGGGGAAGGGGAAGGAGAAGGGGAAGGGAACTGAGGAAGAGAAAGCGGGAGGGGGGGGGGAGGAAGAGGAGGAAGAGGAGGCAGGAGAGAGGGGTCAAAAGGAAGAGCCACAGACAGGGGAGAAGGGGGAGCGCAACCAGGTTATTAGTGCGCCGGAGACCAACGGAAGCGAGGAGGATGGGGAGGACAGCGACGAAGAGCGGGGAAGTCCGAAGGTGCGCCATATGTTCGTGCTCGTATATTTTTGATGGGTTGCGGCCATGCAGTCGGGCAAAGATAACCCAAACTACGCATATATGGTGGCGCGTACCTCATTCTCCCCTCGATACCCTGGTGTTGTCGTTCCCACGCGCGCTCACGTCCCTGCCTCCTGGGAACGCTGCACTCCGCAGAGGCAAAGGCTCATCTCACCCGATTCGGAAGAGTCTTGGCACAGTTTTCCCCTGGGGCCGGTCGCGAGCTCTCCAGGTGCGAGTACCAACTGTTGGTTCTCCGGAGAGAAGCAAGTAGGACTCCTTGAGCGCAGATATTATATATGCTGCGGGTCAATCGTCTGAGAAAGATGCAGGTTTTAAAAAGTTTGTAAAAGCATGGACGACCCGAGGGCAGCCGAATGTGTACTCCGTTGTATTGTTTTTGGGCCATCATTGCTAATCTGCAACTGTTGTCAGACCGACAAGTCTCTGTGATAAACCTGACCATCACCTGTTCGTAATGAAAGATTGTCTCGCCAGCCGTGTGCTCCGGAGTCGGTATACCTTTTGCGTGGGTGAAGAGGGAGATGAAAGCCGTGAACCAATGCTCGTCGAAAGTCGTAAGTACTGCTGCCACCGTCGCCGCTGCTGTGTTGAACTTGCTCTTTGGTTCCTTCACCGTCGGACCCCCCACCCCCCACCCCCCACCCCGTCGCCCCCACCCTGCTGCCTGTCCGTCGCGTTAAGAGCCATCCCCTATCCCACACGGGCATTACCTGGGCAGAGGATCCAGGTGGCCTACCGCGCGACGTGCAGCTTACATGCTGGAGGACGATGAGAGTTTGTTTGTCGCAATCTTATGTGACCCAAAGGAGAAAGACAGAAGTGTCAGTGAAGCAACCAGTGCGGCGCTGAATCTCATTCGGTTCGGCATTTTGTTGTAGTATCGGAGCAGTACAAAACATTGAGTAGCTCGAGCTTTGCGAGTTTTGCGAGGGACTCGGGTTTGACGTGCAGAGGGCAGAATTGACGGTCTGTACCCCGGTCGTGCGTAGGCAGCGCGTGGTCGTGTGGGTGCATCACAATTAAGTCCATTTGGTAGAGATCATCACTGAAGAGGAATTGATGCGCCAAGCATTGTCCTTGCCTCTCCCGTCCATGTCGAACCTGGAATGTGCTTAATCAAGGTAGTGCAGTGACCCCCACGACATCTTGTGCCGTTTGTTGAAGACCTTCTTTGAGTTGCCGACCATCACATTCGTCTGAACCACGGTAATACTGTCGCCAACTGGCCCTCGTTTTTGGAATGTACGAACGAACGAACGAACGAATTCCCTCACAAAACTTTGAATCCATCCGGTCTAACCGTATTTTACTCTAGGAAAATGACGGAGAGACGGTGTCCCCGGGAGGAGAGGCGGACCCGGAACTCAAAGATATCGTTAAAGGGGACATCGTTGTCGATGAGACTGCTGCTGCATGGACACCCGACGGGAAGAGGAAGGTTCACGATACTTTTGGAAGCGTTGCGAGCCCATTGGCATAAGAACATGCACAACAGCTAGCGTACGCGTAGTCTGGACGGAGGGGCTCCCACGGTTTTTGTCGTGACGCACGCAAGGCACACACGAACACTACGGTTGTTTGGAACCATACACGTTGAGCGGAGACGACTCCTCAATCGTGATAATGTTGGTCTGAAAACGTCAAGCGTAACCCTGGCGCCCATCCCTGAAATTGGTGGCGGAGCTGGTACACAAGAGCAGACTCGGGATGTTTTGCGTGAGTCAGGACCCAGGCGCTTTTCGCACGCATGTGTACCTAGGTTGCTAACTAGCACTTGTGTTGGAGGGAGGGGGTGCCCACCGTTCGTTGTTTATCCTCCCTCGTTGCTGTGTGTTGACAGCAATTTCGCTGTGTGAGCTTTTTCTTCGGTTCCTTGTTGAAAACAGGTGTTGTCGACGGCGGCATCCTTCAAGGCAATCTGCGCCGAGAAGGGATACAGCTTCGAAACGCTCAGCAAGGCCAAGTACTCCACCATGATGGCGAGTCGGTCGCCGCAGCAGTTTCACGAGTACACCATAGAGTAGTCCGCGGTGTACCCTGATGTTTGCTAAGCTTGAGCGCTGACGGCGTTTATCATGGCTCGGCTGCACGCATTCGTTGCGTACGCTCTCAGCCTCTCGGGGAAGTATTCAGGGTATCCACTTTCGGCGGCCTGGCATTGTATTGATCTGGCTCCAGGGGATTCGAGCTGAGCTAAAGTGTGTGCGTCAGATGTACCCTTCGCAGCCCCTTGTATCACATGTTTCGGACTCAAACAGAAACGCGCGAAATCGTGCTCGCGCCTATCCTCACGAGAGGAAGGCTCTGCCGGAGCAAGCAATCACCATCCCTGTACCTACGCCCGAATCACCACGGTGAGGGCCTCTCTTTCCCTGCCACCCGTCCTCCGTCTCCGCACATCCCCGCGCGCGAATATGCCCTCGCAATACCAGATTGTGTACCACATCTGTCATCCGGACGCTCCCTGGGTCCTCCCGATGTGCGGCAAGTGCAAACATGAAACGGGATACCGTTTCAACGCGGTTGGGTCCTCTGGAACTGTCGAGGCGTTATCCTCTGGAGGCAACATGTACCTGTGCACGGTGAGGTCCATCTTCTTCGTGGATAGGCGCACGCAACAATTGTTCTCGTCGTGCCCGTGTTTTTGTCCAGCGTAAAGAACGAATTCCGTTTCACCAGACTTGTGTGGCGGCTTCCAAGTTGGGCTTGTGGGTCTCTGCGCGTGTCTGATTCACTACTTGCGAGGGATGCCCAACCTCGAACGATACACCGTGTGCCGTGATTTGTCGTGTCATGGTGGGATCGACGGACTCTACACCAAGCGAGACATCGTGATTCTTCTGGAATACTGTCTGTCTTCTTTTTCTAGTACGCCGACCTCCTTCCTATCAGGCACCCACGTGTCCGTGTTTTGTCGAACACGATTCGGTGTCTAATAATGGTGTCTGATTAATTTCGTTGTCTTTACGGAACGTACATGTGCCTTTATTCACGAAATGGCCGCCTTGACACTCGTATTGTAGGCACTTGGCAGTGGGTAGTCGCTTGATCGGACACCGGCTTGTCTCGAATCCTTTGCCTCAATACGGGATCATGGCGTTGTAAACGCGATGTTTTGACGCCTTCGCACTCTTCGTACCTCCATCTCCTCGTTTGCCCTCTTGTGCTCGCTTTTGACAGGAATGTGCTCGAAAACATTGTATGGGGCGTTCCCTTGAAGTTTATGGGTACGAAACGCACTACGCGAAGCGAAAGGTTAGTGGTGGCACCAAAGAAATATATAAAAAAAAGAAAGGGGAGACGAATAGTCTGCTCCCTGGTCGACAAACGGCTCTTTGGGACTGTTTGTGTCATCCCCATGTCGGTCCCTTTCTCTGCGTTCAGGTATTCGCACGCTTGGAGAGTGGAATGTTTACATATGAATCGTGGTTTCTTTCGCGGACAGATCGCTTAGCTCGTAGATGGAGCATGACCTGCTGTAACAGTTTTCTACCCCCCCAGAGATTGGAAGACAATCGAACCACACCGTAGACGGAGTCCATTGCACTTTTCACCACACACAACCTCCCACTAGAGTGATATAGTAAGGGCGGGTGGCCCTGCGCGGCAGAACGTGTGGCAATCTTGGACGACCCTCACGTACAAGGTCGGTAGTTGTGACGGTGACATAAAATAATCCTGGGAGGAAAAGAGGGAGATGAGGAGGTGTGGGGTCTTGTCCGTTGATGAAACCAATAATCGAGCACGTTGTTGTGATACGAAACGTCAGTTTACCGACGGTCGCTATCCTCGCGGCCCCCTCTTGAAGCCGCTATCTCTTTGCCCCCCGAATGAACTCCTTGCAACAGGAGGAGGACGAGGAGGAAGAGGAGGAAGAGGAGGAGGAGGAGGAGGAGGAGGAGGAAGAAGGGGAAGAGATGGTCGACGCCGGCATCGCCTCGCGGTCAGCCCCTTCGTTTGGCAGCTCCGACTACTGAGTGAGGGACGGTAACACGTACTAGTGTCAGCCAGGGTAAACATTATCTTGGGGAAAAAGAGGGCTTCGCTCAGCGCCCCCTAGAGAGACGTCGTAGGCCAAAACGAAGGGTGGTGGCTCCGAGGTGATGGTACTCATCCCAATCTCGGACGTAATCGTCAGCGGGTGGTGTTGGTGTTGGTGTTGGTGTTGTCTTACCAAACATCATGCTAAAGAGGGGAGGGACGGGCTTGTGAAGCCACCCTAGCGTTGTGCAACCAGTTATCCTTCTCGGCGATTGGCTGTTTGTTCGTGATGGGGTCGGCGATCAGAAGGTGCTGTCTGTGTGGCGTGGCTGCTTTGTTTTCGAAGAGAGCGAGCCTTCGACCATGAGCCGCCCATAGGGAGAGCTCCTCCACCCCCTACGCCCGTACCATCCATGCCCAAAGCGCGAGCGGGGGGAACGTTGTTGAGGCCGCGCGTGTCTAGCTTGGTGCCAGCTGCGTGTTCGGCTAGCAAGGTGAAGGAGAGTGAAACAACTCAGCTTCATTAGGGGAGGGACAATGTGGAGAGGGTTGCATTTGAAAACGGTTCTCTACACGGTTACCCACCGACGTTTCAGAGTCGGATTCACACCTAATCTGCCTGATGCACGCCTTTCCGGAACGGAGCGTGATGCTAAACCTGCGAGGGAGTATATGAAAGGAGGGACACTTAATTAAAAGCGCGGGGGGGGGGAGACGTTGGACCACCGCGGGGGTGCTTGTGGTTTGGAGTTTGTTGTAGGTTCGAAACGCTCCGTCCACCCGCAATGATTTTTTATCAGTCAGAGTTTCTGCAGCCGAGGAAAGGAGGCCGGCTGCATGTATTTAGTGAGAACCACGACGTGGAAGCGCGACGGTGTGGATACAACGTAGTTACGCGCTGTATTTTTCAACTATGGTGTGGCTTGTGGCGATATTTGTCAAGACGGCGTGCGCTTTGCTAGGGCGAAGAGATTGTCTCGCAGCGCGTTTTACACTAGAGTCGTAGTTCGAGTCCGTCTGTGTGAGTCACAGCATACGGGACTACCGCAGCGCTGAACAGGTCATGTGCACCTCAGGCAGGTGGCCATTTTCACGTGGGTGCTTGTTAGCTGTTGCCGCATGTTTGCAAGGATGGGGGGCGAGTTCAGCTTCTGCGAACCACGTCTGTTTCGTGCGACGAAAAGGTTACGGCTATGGTTTGGGTGTTGCTTTGGTTGCTTTGACCATTCTATCGATGCGCGGGGTATCGGTGGGTGGAGTTGGCGAAGCGTTTGGTGAGGAGAGAGTATGTGTGGGCGTGCGGGCTCTCACTGATGGCCATCCACATAGAACGCCGCCCCGTTGTTGCTTGTCTGTTTTCAATGTGTGTCCTTGACTCTCGCGGCACGCGCTGTGCAATTATAAAATAGCGTGCAGAAAGGAGGGAGGAGCAGTGTCCGGAGACGGGCGTTGCGGGTCCCAACCGCCACGGGCGGCGTATTTGTTAGTCGTTGCTGTGTTGTTTCGGTGACGGCGGTGAATGCCTCACGATGTGGTGGCGTATTGTTCCTACTGCTGCTTATACAGGGCCTAGTTTTGATTGAAACTGGGAACGTCTGTACCGCTCAATGTGATACGTATTTAGGCGGGCGGGGAGATCGCGGTAAATCACACGACGCGTGTGCTGCAGCGACACGGATGCGCAGATTTCGCGGGCGGCGCTTGTTTGATTACTGGTTGGCAATTTCCTCGACCATCAACGTGAAATACCTCCGTTTCAGTGGTGATTTGCCGTCCAGCCTCGCGGTTTCTTTGAAAATCCCCCGAGATCAAACCACACGGTACCCGATCGAAGTTGTCTTGTAGGCATGTACAAGGAGGTAAACGTCGCCGACTAGGCCATATGAGAGCACCAACAGGCATGTCGCTTCAAGCTATAACCTTCGACTTGACGACATATTTGTTTTTTACCCATCGGGACGTGTTGGCTGATCGTGTTTGGGGGGACTTTGGCAACCTGTTCTGCTAACGACTCATTTGTAGTAACCTTGCGCAAGGACAAAGTGCGAGGTTGTGTCTTGTCCATTGTTGGCACGTGTCGTGATGTTCCATTAGTTGTGCTGCCTTGCGACGCCGAATCGGCGAAATTGCGTTAGTGAATGCGTGATTCCTGTGCTTAATCACGGTGTGGTGTTGACAAGAGATGTTGGGGGCATATTTAACGAGGAAAGGGCGGCAGGGCGGAGGAGAAGAGAGGAGGGAGCAGGGTCCATTGCGACGAAGCCTTTTAGAGAGGAGTACAAGGTAAAATATTGTGGGCTGGCCGTGCCAGTGAAGTACTAAAAGCCTTCGGGGTTTGGAAGTCTTCCCCAAATTCCATGCCACATGGACCTGAGAGGCGTGCTTCGATTTAACTGCCCGCGTGCCCTTATAGGTCGTGTATGGACACAGCATTTTCATTATGTTATTTGAAAAATAGTTAGTAGGTGGTTGCGTGGCATGACTTGTGCCAGTCAAATTACCGACAGGAACAACCAAGTCTTAATTTCACTTATTACTGAGTACGACGTGATAGCGTAGCGTAGGGTGGGTGCCGTGGCTGCCACGATGTACAATTAATTGAAGCCCTCCATGTACAAAACTTAAACGTCAGATGATTCCCGTGGGCAGTCTCCTCAAGATCGCCTGCGAGGTAAAAATGTGATGGGTGCCTGCAAAGAGGGAGCGTTGGGGTGAGGGAAGAGGAGGGAATGGACCTGGTCGCGAACTGAAGGAAAGATGATGAGATGATCAGCAGGGAAACGGTGGAGGGGGGGGGGCGAGAGAAGGAGAGATCAAATTCGTTTCGTTGGTCCACGCGGTGAGTGAGATGAGCTGAGCATGTCACCCCGAAGACAAAGCACCAATCGGGTGGGGGGGGGGGCAGAGAGTATTGGCAGCGGAGTGGCGGACTACTTTATTGCCCGTGGCCAACAGCGTCAAGTCCACAACATTAGTTTGTTATCGTTTACGACCGTAGTGTACTTCAGACATCAGAACGTCGAAGTATTGTGTGCCCCAGACG